GTTCTATCTGTTCGATAAATATCCAAATAGAAGTGAAAAGTGACCGTGCGAACACTTATTAAGCGATAAAAACAGATGAAAGTCAAAGAACTTCTATCTTTTGATAGAAGAATTTGAGATAAAAATCTCAGTTTCGTCAAAACAGCTAAAATTTCAGGTTTTTGCCATACTTAAATATAAGTCTCCCCCTTGGATAAACGACACTACTGGCTCGATTGCTGCACTTTGGCCGATTACGGCGTTCACAGTTGCAACCGTATTGAACTATTTAGTGTACTTTTCCAGTAAACGTCTATATATGCTAGAGATTGGAGAGTGTGTATGGGTCTCACGACAACCAGTCAAAGTTAAAACAAGACATAAAAAAATGTGTATGTTACAGATATCTTTTCAGTCTTTCGACTTTTTGTTTGTTTTCGATGTTTTCCGCCAACTCCTCTTTGGAAATAAAAATGTTTGTTTGAAGGCTTGTTTGTGTATTTACATAGATTGCTGAAATGATACGTCCTACAGTTGATAATCATGATAAATCAATTCCAGCTATTCTGGAAATTCCAAGTAAAGAACATCCGTATGATCCATCGAAAGACTCAATATTAAGACGAGCAAAAGTAAGTAGTTTAGATTCACTTACTTAATTTATACACATATTAAATACGGTTCTTGCTTATCCATTTGTTTAGGGAATGTTTACTGCTGAGGATTTTAAATGACTATATTTGTGCAATATTTCGAACAAAGTTGTTGTTGCATTTAACCTAGTGTATTGTAATGAGCATTCCATGTTAATGTTATTTGTTGTAATCTTTTTTTAACGCAAAATAAGTGGGTTTTTTTCGATATTGTAATTTTAACGTAGAATGTTATGATTTATTGTATTTTCGTGACATAGTTTAATACACAATAATTATGCTATAATAAAGATATCGGAAGAGTTGATTAAGCTTAAACTGACTAAAAAGTTGTTTTTCTTCTCTATCCAGGTACTTTAAAGTGAATAGTAATTTGAAATTTTAGAAAATTTTGATAAAAAAATAAGACTTTTCTTTTGTATCTTGTTTATTTTAGGTTACAGAAATCATGTCTGAAAATAATTCATTTACTTCTCAATCGTCGTCTCCTTACACTGCTACGTATGTGAACTGGTCCTTATTGATATTTTCTACATTTATAATTTGTATTCGTTATTTCTTACCGTCATTTTGTATGCTATTAATAACTGTTATCGATAAGAATAAGAAAAGATTGTCGAATACGACCACCGGTGGTGATAATTATCATTCATTAACACAAGAATTAACTCGAATAACTCAAGATCTAAAACAATTATCACAAGTGGATCAATTTGCATTGTATTCGAAAAAAGAACGTCAGCGTAATGCTGTATTAGAACGTTTAAAAAGTTTGAAAAAAGAGCAACAAACATACGAAAAACATTTTCAAACAAAACTTCGTATGGGCGTTAGAGTTGTAACAGTTTTGATGTCAGCTATTCTTTTGTATAATTTTCGTCGTGAACCATTGTGGCTGTTTCCATCAAATATATTTGGAACCATATTTAATCGTCTCGTGACATTTCCATCATCGGTAGATGGTGGTATAGGACTCATATTTTGGATGTTGGCGTTTAATACATTTTTGGTGTCAGTTAACGATCTTTTTAAAAGATATAGACAATTTCTTGTGTAAAATGTGTCTGTTTTCTCTTTGTTCTCAAAAAAGAATAACGTTTTATTTGGAATCTCATGGAAAAGAGATTGATTCACATAAGTGCATTTTTTACCTCTGAAATTTAGCAACGGTATGAACTTGATTCTTCTTTGAACGCAGTGGAAAAAATGGCACAATACATTGAGTATCAGTTCAATCTTAGAAACTCCTCACAACATTTTTGAAAAAAACAAATGTTGATTCTCTTGTTAAACGTTCATGTACCTCATGAGATAATTTTACCATCCAAACGAAAATTCTAGCCCTATTGAATGTACTTAAGCCCAAGTCATTAGAAAAATACTTGGGTAAGTAATGTCCAGAGTACCTGGAGTTTTTTGCTAGTAAAAAAGGTACTTATCAAGTAGTTTAACAAGTATAAGTACTAGATAAGTACTTCATCAAGTATTTGACAGATAACCTGGTAAGTACTTGCAAAATATATGCAAGTGTTCGCAGTTCTTTCAAGTACTTGCCACATATTAAATCTAAAAATGCTTGACAAGTGCTTAATCAAGTACTTTAGAAAAGGACTCTGTCGGATTTCGAAAGTATATTGAAACAGAAAGTTATATATCAGGTTTTGTAGAGCTTCTCGCGACGGATCTAGACCTGTATTGGGTTTTGGTTAATACCTTCTGGTTACCGAGATCTGGGTGTCACAATGTTTTGGTCTTACTCTTAATCAACACTTTAATCAGTGTTGATGTAAGAGGAAGAGTTAGGAATGCACCAAATCCTGCGACTATGTCTCAAAGGTTGCATATTTTTGATATTTAAAACCCTAAACTTTAGCAAACTTTTGTGTCAGACATAACCAGTTTTATCTG